GAGAGAGAGAGAGAGAGAGAGAGAGAGAGAGAGAGAGAGAAGAGAGATTCAATATCATTTGCATTTGCGTCATTTACCCATTAAATCGAGCACAGGTGTTGTTTTGATAAGTCTTCACAATCGCGCAATCTGGCTAATCCCGAACTGCCTCCCCCGGCGGAGGCTTTATCCTTTATCTTCTTCTGATCTAGTCACTTCTACAGTCTTGTTCGCTGGGATCGATGGGGCGCGTCAATAGAGGATAGGTTCGGGAGCAGCGCGATTCTCCTCTTCGGGAAGCGGCAAGGCTATATTATGTCGTTCGTATCAGTCGTTTCCCACAAGTTGTCGCTTACTCGCTTAAACTACTGGTGGTAAGCGGGCTTGCGGCGCGCCAAACCCAGCGTTACTGACACGCCTCCTTCATCCGCAGCGATTAAGACTGTATGCGTCTCATTTGTCCGAGGAACTGGACACTTTAGCTTACGTCAGTACCGTTAGTACCTTAGAAATTGAACAGTTTTGAAGAAGAGCCGAAACTCTCTGTAGGGGTTACTCATGATCAAAGTCCTAATCGTGAATACAACATTTGTTTTTTTTTGCACTGGCGCCGTTTAGCGCCAGAATAGTGCGTGCGCCAACTCGGTGCGACGGTTTCTCCCAAACTCCATGTGAACTTGCGAACAGAGGTCATCTATGGTTCCCGATTGCGACTATGGCTTCATTCTTGGCGCTGGCGCCTCTTTGTGTCGATCTGGCACCGCTAGTAGTAGATAGCCTTTACCATCTAATGATCTATGGAACTTTTAATCGAGGCACATGGTCGTTGGGGATCCTAAACAGGAGGGTCGTATTTGATCGCTGGGAGGAAGGGATTGTATTCGGTCTTAAAATTTTTTTTTCGATATTCGACTTTACTTGCCGTATTCGTCTTCTGAGAGAAATTTGCAGCGTTGGGAAAAATTTTCCCGGTCGTTGACTCCCCCCCGCGCTCAACAGTTCTGATCGTATCGGAGGAAGGGACTAGGGCCTAGGAGGGAGTCGTACGGACCCGACCGAAATCCCGGTCAATTATGCTCCCTGCTGCCCTGCTTTTGCTTTTCCCCTTTTTGACCAAATTTCTGAGAAATTCTCTCAATGAATAAGTATGCATAGAGGGTTGTATAGAAAAAGTAGAAAGAAAAGACAGAGAAAAGTAGAACTGTAGAAAAGAAATAGGAAAAATAGAATGTATAGAAATTTCGGTCTAGAGGTTATCATAATTTTTCCATAGTCTGTTTAGCTGGTCGACCGGTGCGTATTTATGCGGATGGCATATACGATCTGTTCCATCATGGTCATGCGAATCAGTTGAGGCAGGCAAAGAACGCCTTCCCAAATGTTTATCTGATTGTTGGAGGTGATTCTTCTTTGTTTATTCGATACGCACATTATTAGGTGTAAAAGTGGTGTGTTTCAGTGTGTGGTGATAAGAACACTCATAAGTACAAAGGTCGCACGGTGACATCGGAAGAGGAACGATATGAAGGAGTGCGTCATTGCCGCTACGTTGACGAAGTATATCGGGATGCACCGTGGTTTTGCACTGTGGAATTCTTGAAGGAATTGAAGGTACTTCAAAATAAAAATCCTTTTGTTCTCTGGTGCCATTATGCTGTCTAGACAATTTATGAGGCTAATAGCTGCCTCTGGACTCACCAGTATCGGTTGCTGGCTTGATAAATTCTCGATGCAGCATATGAGTTGGTTCTCTTGAAACTGAAAGAGTATGGCCTCCGTCAATGGTGAAGGCAGAGCTCGCGTTCGAAACTGCTGAGTTATGCGGATCAGATAGTAGTAACAGGTAGCAAGGAATTCGGTAGTGAAGAAAAAAGCAGGAGAACAGGAAATGCCCTCTAGAGAACCCCTTGATCAACTGAGGTTGTACGTGCCTAAGGAGAAGAAAGGGTTTGTCGGACGAGTTCTCACTTGTTCGGGCCTGCTGTTCCTCCTACCTTACTCTCACCATTTGAAGTGGAAATCATTAGTAACGGACAACTGCACCAACAGCTATCTGTTGAAAATCAACGTTAGGCGTTGTGGCAGTCAAGTAGGCAGGGCGGCAGCCTCTCCACGAGCGAGCGGAGATTTTCTCATATTCCTCTAGTATTTTTGATCTTTGAAATTAGTACATCCTCTATCCCTATTAGAAAGGCTACGATATCCACAGAGGGCGTGGGAACATTCAATTAAACGCGGGCGCTGCCTCTAAGTTCCCAGAAATTCATAACACTGTCAACTCTGGATTCAATCTGGATTTTCAGGTGGACTTCATCGCCCATGATGCGATACCATATGTAGCGCCAGGAGAGGAAGATCTCTACGAGAAGTTTAGGAGGGAAGGTAATTTTAAAGCCGAAGCAATCTTTTTTCACTGATTTCTGGCACTATTTACCCTC